AAGGACGCAGTATTTCCGGAACATTTTCAAAAATTAAGTTGAAAAAGTTAATTTTTGTAAAAAAGTTGCTATTTTAAATCCCTCCCATGAGCAGGTTAAGTGATAGATTTTCAAAAAATTGATATCAAATGAAAGGTAAATATCTAAAGTTTTAGTATAAAAAAAGTGAAAAAATTTCGAAAATTAGCGATTTTTAAATTTGTAATTTTTTTGGATATTTCCTCCATTTTCGGGGAACGAGGGAATTTTTTTCAATTTTTAAGGGTAATNATTAGCGATTTTTAAATTTGTAATTTTTTTGGATATTTCCCCCATTTGCGGGGAACGAGGGAATTTTTTTCAATTTTTAAGGGTAATGTCTTCAACTAGATACGATTTGTGATCTTTTGACGTATTTTTGAAAGAAATCGGTCCAGTGAGAGCTGAGAAAAAGTGGCAACTGACATAAAAAAAAAAAAAAAACACATCATAGTAAAATTAATACCTTCTACGCTTCTCATCGAAGCTAAAAATAGAAATTATAAAATGACAAATATACAAATTATTGTCAAATTTAACAGATTTATTCATACAAATCTGTTTACAATTTTTTATAATAGTGATATGTTAATCACTAGCAGATATCATATGCACTTTCCCAGCTATGCAACGACACTTCTATGCTGGGTTTTTTAGTTTTTAAAGATGTTTCAACAATTTTTTAAACATTAGAAAATTTTTGTTTAAAATATCAATATCATAATTAAAAACTATTTGCAATAAATATTACTAAAATACAAATTATGTATGTGTGAGAAAATATGTAGTTGCTAATTATACTTGTTTATATAAACGTGAATATATATAGTATGATTAAATTATTTAGAAATTAAATTAGTTTTTTTATAATACTTGTTGATGATATTTAATGTAAAATAGTATTATTAAGTATAAAAATATTAAAAAGATCTGGTATCTTTTCTCTATCAAATGTTTAAATTCAATTACTGGTGATCATTCAAGCGTAGATAATTTTCAGGGAAAAAGTTATACATTCAATTAAAGTTCATATTTCAATGTTTGATATCGTAAAAACACATGAAAATTTTTAAAATCTTCTCTACACAATGGCTATATATATAATAAAAATTGATCACTTGTGGCTAGTTAATTAAGTAAAATTAAAACTATATTAAAAATATTATTAATTTAAAAAAACTAAAAAATATATTAAAAATATTAAACTCAAAAGCCACAAAAAAATTAATGAAAAGTCGCGGATACGTATTACTACATTTATATTAAATAAACACATACTGACTCAGTATGTGTTTAGCGTTGATAATGGTAACATTGTTTCCGAAATACGTATCCGCGACTTTTCATTAATTTTTTTGTGGCTTTTGAGTTTAATATTTTTAATATATTTTTTATTTTTTTTAAATTAATAATATTTTTAATATAGTTTTAATTTTACTTAATGGCTATATAGAATTTTTTTTTACATTTTACGCAAATTTTTTAAAAACTAATTTTTTTAATAAATAAAAATACTATAGTTTATAATTAAATTATATAGCTTCAATGTATAACAATTATTTTTTAAAAAAGTATTGGAAACCATTGGCTGAATAAAAAGTTATTAAATTTGTCAAAACACGGTGAACCCTTTTGTATATTTTTTTTTTCATTATGAATTTTACATTATATTTTTGGTTTCAATCTAAGTTTATTGCATAAATAGGAGAATTACAAGAAAATACAAATTAAATTTACAACTTCTTATATTTAAAGTAATAGGTAAATTTAGTTTATCTTTCAATGTTAACATTTAACATGAATATTTTTAAAATAGTAAAATCAACGGGTGCCATACTAATTTTTACACATTCAAAATACTTCTGCAATTCAATAGTAAATAAGTTCAATTGATTTTCTGCAATTGAATGATTAAATGGGTTTACTATTGATGCATCATTTCTAAAGCTATTAAAATCAAATGTTGGAATATTAAAATTTATTGCTAGTGTATTTAAACAGTCTAGGACTTTACTGGTATACTTTATTAAATTATCCAAGTTGATTATTCTATCGTTTTTCATATAATTTAAAAAATTTTGGAATGGTGAATAAAATGTTTCATCTGTAAATACACCTATTTCATTTATTATGTTTAATGGAATTTTAAACAATTTAAAAAAATATTCACTATTAGAATTTATACTGTTAATATCTTTTATAAAGCAATCAATAAGATAAATACTGTGCCGAACCAAAGAATAATAAGTTACCAATAACAAATTTTTCTTTATAGCTTTAGTATAAAACAACAATTCAAAATAATCATTTTTCCAGCTATTGCGCACTCTATCGTAAATCTTTTTTATATGAGTTTTATCGTAGGTTGGAAACATTGTAGTTGGAGGAATGAATATCTCAAAACGTTGAATGTTATCCCAAAAAAAACTATAAATATGTGATACATCTTCATACTGATAAATTTCGTTAAACGTATTTGGGTAATATCCAGAGTACAGTTTTAATTGTTTTGATATTTCGTATATCGTACTAAGATACGAATTATTCTTATATAGTTCAGGCAAATATGGTAGATTATTATATTTAAAGCAAATTCTACAAATTTCAGTAATTTTAAATGTAATATAATCGAATTTGATTTCTTGGGGTGATATTTTTCGGTCAATCAATGCATTTATTGTAATTGATGTTAACCAAATACCTTCTTTAATATGGCTAAATGTATAATAGAATATCGATATCATTCGATGCAAAATATCCTTGAATTTCTTTAGCTCTTTAGAGTTAACCACATTTCTATTTATGATGACAAATTTCATGTGGTACATTANAGAGTTAATCACATTTCTATTTATGATGACAAATTTCATGTGGTACATTATATAAAGTGAAAGTTCTGTGTACTTACATCTTAATTTCCACATTTTATATTTAATGTTCGTGTTATTACATATCAAAAATGTTTCATTCATTTCATTAATTTTAAGAACATCTTGAAGCTCATAATCTGTAAGTAATAAATATTCTGGTCCAGGTATATCATTTATCAAGTTTAAGAAATAAGCATTTCGTTCTTGTTGCTATATTAAAAAAATAATAATACATGTATACATTTATTCGTAATTTATAAATTTAAACTGTTATATTATTCTTTGTAATACATATTCCTTTTGTTCAACATTTTGTGAGAGAGAATTTAATGATAATCGCCTTTTAGTTTTTAAGACAATAAGAGATATTTTTTTGAAAATTTTTTAAAATTTTTTATAGGTCACTTAATATTAATAAAAATAAATAAAATTTTAATTAAATGAATGAGACACTTAGAAAAATAAGGGCCCAATTTAAAATTTCTAACTAAAAATGAATAAATTTTAAAGTATTTATTAAAACACCGATTCTAAATTAATAAAAATAATATTTTTTTAATAAATACATTTTTTTGACTTCTGAAAAAAAATTGAAAATTTAATTAGGGCCTTTGTACTTATTAGTTCCTCAATTTTAATATGCTATATTATATATATATATAGCAATGGCGAAACATTTGGGCCTCTCTAGTTACACCAATGATGATTTTCGAAGGGGATTGCAGACTTCTTAAAATTCGTAAGCCGACTAAAATTATCTAAAATTATATAATTTGTTTTTCAATCAAACATTTTATTTTAATAAACTATAAGATGTAATAATTAACAGGTTTGATAAATTAAAAGATGCGTTTAAAATATTTTATTTTAAATTATTAAAATGCAGGAATGTTATCATTTCTTCTAGACTCCTCTTTACAATGCAATCTTTAATAAGACGGAAATATTTTACTGTCATGACCATTTCAATATTATACATACATTAACCTAAAAATCCATTTTATAATCATTGAGCCTTTATCTTTATTATATCATTAGTATTATAAAATTTTAAGAAATTTCAGTAGAGTTGAAGAGCTTTAGAGATTTAAATGTACTATTTTTTTTATTTAATCATCTTTAAATTTAATTTTTAATAATTTTGAATAAATTTCAAACATATATAAATAGGAATTTTCTAAATTTAATAGTTTTCTATTTTATAAGGTAGTTAAATATGTATATTGCTATTAAAAAAAAAAATAGTTGACACATTTATATAATGTAAAGGATGAAATTTAAAAGCAAAACAAAATATTTCCGATATTACATTGATTTTGTAAGTAATTAGTGGGTTAGAATAGACGAATTACCTGAAATATAAATACTACATTAAGGTGGTCTTTAGCTGCATAGATCTATTTATATATATACAGAGTGGCCCACCACTCACTGACAACTTAAATAACTTTTGATCCAGTTAATATTTTTAGTTGAATTTTTTTTTAAATAATAGTTATACGTTAGGTCTATAACTATATCTCAATAATTAATTTTTTTACATTTTATTAAAAATATTAATTATTTTTAAATTTTAAATAAAATGTAAAAAAAAAATCTAAGATAGCTATTTTGTAGAGTAGAATCTCAGAAAAATTTTAGTAAAAAAATATCTTATTAATATTCAGTAGTAAATATTCTGTAGCGTTTTGAAGTTTGTGAAAATTTGAATTTTCATGTATTATTTTACGGTATTAAACATTGAAATACGTATTGAGAAAAGGACAGAAGAAAACGCTATCTTTTCAATATACTTTTGAATGAGAGTGATAAGTAATAATTGCCTTATCTAATTTCTTATCATGGTATTAATGCCAAGTTTGTAATGTATACACATTATCATCATATGTATACACAGTAATCATGAAAAGATAGCGTTTTCTTCTGTCCTTTTCTCAATACGTATTTCAATGTTTAATACCGTAAAATAGTACATGAAAATTCAAATTTTCACAAACTTCAAAACGCTACAGAATATTTACTACTGAATATTAATAAGATATTTTTTTACTAAAATTTTTCTTAAATTCTACTCTACAAAATAGCTATCTTAGATTTTTTTTTTACTTTTTATTTAAAATTTAAAAATAATGAATATTTTTAATAAAATGTAAAAAAATTAATTATTGAGATATAGCTATAGACCTAACGTATAACTATTATTTAAAAAAAAAATCAACTAAAAATATTAACTGGATCAAAAGTTATTTAAGTTGTCAGTGAGTGGTGGGCCACCCTGTATATATTTAATAAGGATGTCCCTTATAAATGTTCTATGTGTTATAAAAATAAGTTTTGTGAAGTTCAAATAATCAAATAATTATTTCCTGTACCCCAGAGGAGTTGAATTTTCATAAATGGAGATGAAAATTAGTTTATAACGCATAGCTTAGTAAATATTACTTTTATCACCAAAAGTTGCAAAAAATAAGCACAGAAGTACTATATTCAGAATGGAGAAATTTGAACAAAAGTTCTAAAAGGACTACAACGAGCCATCAGAATAATGAAAAAGTTTTTATTGAAAAATTCAATGATTGATTCGAGCATTTATACTCTAGCATTAGTAGTACAGAGGAAAAAGAGTACCGAAGAAAACAATATTAGATTTGATTATTCTGTGTCAGATATACTTGATGAGAACGAACCTGGATCATCCTGCTCAAAAAGAACGGTAGGAAAGTGGCAGTTTATTACATCAAAACTTGTTGCTGATTTTGATCAGTGCAAGGTTAGTGATTGAAATGCCGTACACTTGTTAATAGCAACTGTAGAGATGCTTTATTTAAATTCTAATGAGTTAATTATTAACCGTTCTTCAATACATTGTTATCATAAACTTTTAAAAACCAAACATGCTAAAAAAATATTTGAAAAGTTTCAGGAAAAAAATGTTACATTTGTTATTGTTCATTTCGATGGTAAATTATTACCATCATTATCTAGTAAAATAAATATTGATAGACTTCCAGTTGTTATAAGTTTTGATGGAGATGAACTTGGCGTTCCATTTATTAAATCGGGTACAGACAAANAGCAACTACTTGACGTTCCATTTATTAAATCGGGTACAGGCAAAGAACAAGCGCTAGCAATTTATAATTTGTTAACAGAATGGGATATTAGAAATAAAGTCCAGACTATCTGTTGTGACACANAACTTGGCGTTCCATTTATTAAATCGGGTACAGACAAAGAACAAGCGCTAGCAATTTATAATTTGTTAACAGAATGGGATATTAGAAATAAAGTCCAGACTATCTGTTGTGACACAACAGCCTCTAATATGAGAAAGTTACAAGGCACTTGTGTCATTTTAGAACAATATCTAGAGAAAGATCTTTTATATCTACTATGTAGGCACAATGTATTTGAATTTATTTTAAAAAGTCTATTTGAAAAAATATTTCTCTATCTAGTGGGCCAAATATACCATTATTTAAAAAATTTCAACAGAGTTAGTCACTAATTAATGATTGTTCTATAAAATCAGGCTTAGACGATATTGTTGTTAAAACACAATTAAATGTCTCTGAATTAAAAATAATTTCATTTTGTATGAAAAAAATTAATTCTAATCAACCAAAAGAAGACTATAGAAAGTTTACAAATTTAGCAATAGTTTTTAAAGATTACCTGGAATATTAGAAAATAGTATGCAATTTTAAAGTTGTAAATGATACTGCAGAAATAGCAGTGAAATTAATATAATTCACTTATAACAAAAAAAGACAATCAAAAACAATATATTTTGAACAGATTACGGAAACAAATTTCCTGATGCAATGAAAAGTACTTTGATGGAAAATTAATTCATTGCTACATTCTAATCCTTTTATTTATAATAATTATTTATTTTTAGTTCTATATAATGTTTACGTTAGTAGAGACAGAATTGTATAAAAAAAGAAGAATTGCAAAAAAACAGCGTATTCATATGTTTTGTTAAATCTCATGAAATATGCAATTAAGAGTAAAAAGCCAAGAACATTTTTTTGTATAAAATTAATTTTTAAATAAATGTTGTAAATACATTTTTGTTATAAAAGTAAAATTTACCAAGTTATGCGTTAAAAACTAATTTTCATCCCTATTTACAAAAATTCAACCCCTCTATGGCACGCGAAATAATTATTTGATCGTCACGAAACTTCACAAAATTTATTTTTATAACACATATACAGTTATTGGTGGCATCCTGGTAAAAAAAAAATAACATTGAAAATTAAGGACCACCCTAATACTACATACTAACATTATTTAGTTGTATTTTCTATTTCATAAAAATCAGGGTTATTAAAATTCCTTTTATAAAAATATCTGTTCAAAGCCTTGTTCCTTTAGTAGTAACAGACATTTTTTCAATTTCTTATTCTTTTAAAAAAAACAAATTCTTTAACTAATTCCCCAAAAAAAATTTTTTTATAATTTAATCAAAGTCAAGAAATTTAGTTTTTAAAATTATATTTTTAAATATTTTTACAATACGTATAAATATTATAGTAAAGTTATAAGAAATATGAAAATAATACACAAATATAAATAATTATATAGTATATTTATAATATCTTTTTTTAAAGTCTACATTAATAATAACAGTATTAACTTAGTACTACGAAGTAACAGTAACTTTAAAATTCATCTTTATTTAGTTTTAAGACAACTAATTGTTTAAAAAGTTATTCATCATCACTTAATTTGAAACATTTTACAGTAGAACCAATTAAGTCTTATAAGTTAAAGACTTATTTCTACAGGTACAGTATTATAATAGTAAGATAACTATGTAATGATTCTTGATTTTCGCAATATAAATCATTTCTCAACTCATTTTCATTATACTTATTTTTGACTGTAAGACAAAATAAATTCTTTTCAATAACTGTTTTTAATCTTTTCTGCTACAGTTTAGTCAGAACCTTGTAACCAATTCAACTTAAATCTAGACAACGAGCAAGCTGCCAAAATAAACTCTCTAATTTTTATACAAGGGAAGGTGTGGCCTAGTCGGTAATTGGAGTTGTCATCCCTCTCTCCGGCGACGGACTAATAACCCGTCCCGGAGTATCAATGGTTAAAAAAACTTCCTCCTTTGGAGGAGGCCACTAGGGCGCTATATGGGCTTATAAAGTATTAAAAAAAAATTTACATCCTTTTTCACTGCTTCTTTTATGGATTTAAATGACTAATTATAATAAATTAATTGTTATTTCTGTAATTCAATGAATTTCATTTGCAATGCATGAAGTGTTAGAAGAAAATAACCTATATACATCCCTTTATCTCTTTGCGAAAATCTTAAGTATCTACTAAAGGTTATAATATGTTGTAATATTCCCAAAGAAAAGTTATTTTCTATGATGTGATATTTCACAAAAATCTAAAACCTTATTCATTTTATTAATACCATTGAATTCACTTATAAGTGTTTTGATTTGTTAAAAAAACATCATATATACAATTCGCGTTTGCTTAGGCGTTAAAAAAAAAAATCGAAAATACTATGTATATGACAAAAACTAGTATAGTCTGTTTTTGTTTATTCCATGATGCTCAACATATTGAAATTTAAAAACAAAAGAGTTTTTTTTAGCGTTTTATGCAAACTTTAAAGTACAATGATTTTTTTATTATTTTGATGACATTTTATTTTTGCATATTTGTAACCAGTGTAAAAAAAATAAATCACTTTAAAGAAAATTTGATTTCGCTTGCGAGCTAAACTGCATTTGTTTCAAAAGAGTGTACTGTAAATGTATTCAAAATTTTTTTAGGTTAAATTTATCAAGAAAACATAGCTAGGCCATCCTTACATTGATTTATATTAGTAAAATATTTTAAATAATTAATTTTGCTTACCCTGGTTAGTGACGATTGACAATTTAGCTGATAAAAAAAGGCCAAGAAATAAACGGATTGTAATATTATTTCACGTACCATTATAGCAAAAGTAATTTCATACGATCAACGACTCATTATAAAAGTGTTCATCAACGGGAACCAAATATTTTAATTTTAAATAATTTTAAATAATATAATTGATTTATATTTATTATACAAACAAAAATTATTTTATAAAAATTAAATTACTCAAACGATAGATATTATTACCAAAATAAGTGTAAAAACCTAAGTTTTTTATGTCAGTTATTTATTATGGTAAGTGGAATTTTTTATTATTTACTCTATTTTATTATTAATAGCAACAAAAAAAACATTAATACTTTTTAAGTTCATGATAAATAGTAACAAATAATTAATATAGTATAATAATAGTATCGTATTTTTCATATCTGTATTAAAAGCAAATACTTTTCATGTAAATTTTAATATAAATTTAATATTTAATTACATTATTATTTTAGTATTTTTTATATGACAGTTTAATAGTTTCAAGATGTTATAATTCTTATAATGATTCTATTACTTTGTTTCCTCTCACCCGTTGCCCCTGCGTACATTCATAGAGGAAATCCGCTTAATTTCTATTGAGGACATCTTATACTTTTTGACAAAGTTATACATCGTTTGTCGACCTGTCACAATCCATTAGTCGTTTATTATTATTTTTTTTTTTATTTATTTATTTTATTTTTTTGTGTCTGTTACCACTTTTTCTCAGCTCTCACCGAACCGATTTCTTTCAATGATACGTCAAAAGATCAGAAATCGTATCTAGTCGAAGACATTACCCTCAAAAATTGAAAAAAAAAATTCCCTCGTTCCCCGTAAAAGGGGGAAACCTCCAAAAAAATTACAAATTTAAAAATCGCTAATTTTCGAAATTTTTTAATTTTTTTTACTTAAAATTGCCATAACTTTTTTAAAAATAACCAAATCAATATAATTTTTTTTATGTAGATGCATGATATCATTAACTTTCATTTGGTATATTTTTTTTATTATATCTGACCTTTTACCTGCTCACAAGAGGGATTTAAAATGACAACTTTTTCACAAAAAATTAATTTTTTCAACTTGACTTTTGAAAATGTTCCGGAAAGTCTGACANTATTATATCTGACCTTTTACCTGCTCACAAGAGAGATTTAAAATGACAACTTTTTCACAAAAAATTAATTTTTTCAACTTGACTTTTGAAAATGTTCCGGAAAGTCTGACACTTTTATAAATATATCTTAAATTAAAGCTAATGTAATATACTTTATAATGGAAAAAAAAATTTCGGACTTTATTTTATCTTCACGGTGAAAATGGCTACCGAATGCTATTTTTGTGTGAAAATTCTGGATTTTATTTTTTACATTTTTAACTTTATAATGCTATGACATATTGAAAAGTGTATGGATCAACATAATTTTTTTATGAGAAATAATATTTTTTAATAATCCCTTTTTCATTCGACATACTTTATCTTAATCAGGATATTAATAAGGAACTAGCAGTTTATGAAGCTTTTGGAATAATCCACCAATTTTTTAAAATTAAACACTATCTAAAGATTTGCATCGAAGCGTTTTTTTTTTTATAGTGATTTTAATCACTGTCAGATATCATTATACTTGATCCAACTATGCCACGTCACCACTGTGCCGCGATCCCCCTGCGCTGGTTTTTTTTTTTTAATGTTGGTGTATTATTTTAGTCATCGTCTTGATTACGGTTATTTAATATGATCAGATGTTCGCAATAAAAATACATACAATTTCTTTTGTCATAGGAAATAGTATAAACATTTTATTAAACTAAACAAAGATTAATTACTATCACTTTACGCGCTCCCCTAATTCGCGTCGTTTTCTACCGTTCCATGGAATTTCAAAAATCTGCTAATGCTGCTCTTGCTAATGAAAATAGACGTTGTTCTTTAAAAATAAGAATATAAAAAAAAAGTATCTTTAAGTTATTTAAGTAAAGCTAATAATAATTATATTGTAATTAGGCCAGTCAACGAAGGAGTAATTTTGGCGAATGGCGGAAAAAATTCCCAACCAAATTTTTATTTTTTAAAAAGTTGAATTAAGATATGTATAATGACATACTAAAAGTCCTCATCGATTGGACTTGAGCTTTTTTTTTTACAGCCTCGCAAAAGTTCAAAAATATGAGCTTTTTTAATTTTCTCAAAAAATATTTAACTTACAAAAAAAAGTTTCGTATAAAAGTTCTTTAAAAAACAATTTTAAACAAAAAAGGTATCTTGTATTTTTTCATTCAAACAAATATTTTTCGAGTTACATTACATTTAATATGAGTACTAAAATTTATTTTCCAATTTTTTTCATTTTACGGTTACTTTTTATCATGTTATACTTACATTAGACAAAATGTTATAAATGCATATGTGTGTATGTGTAAGTTTATTTATTTATAGTATCATTAAAGTGTAGTGTATAATAAGATACAACCGATAAAGTAAGTAATTGATTTGACGCTATATTGTTTAAACCCAACTAAACGCTAAATTGTACATTCCTAAACAACATTTATATTATGTCAATTGCCACCAGAATTTTTGCTAATCTTTTTCTTTTTATTTGCCTTAATCCCAACTACTTGGGGTCGGCCACCCTCATCCTAAACTTCCACTTGACACGATCTCTCACATCTTCTTCGCTCACATCCACTGTCCTCAAATTGCATTCAATAGCATCCCTCCATCTCTTTTTTGGTCTTCCTCTACCTCTTCTTCCTTCAACATTAATTTCTATAACTGTTCTTACAGCTTCCGATTCTTCTCTCCTCATAACATAATCAAACCATCCAAGTCTATTTTCTCTCATCTTATACACGATTGACGCTACACTTACATTCCCTCTTATATGCTCGTTCCTTTTCTATCTTTTCTAGTCACTCCACTCATCCAACTAAGCATTCTTCTCTGCTACACTCATTCTCTGCTCTACTTTCTTATCAACCGCCCAACACTCTGAACCATACATCATAGCTAGTCTCACTACATTGTTGTATAATTTATCTTTTAGACTCATTGGAAATCTTTTATCGCATAAGACACCAGACGCTTCTCTCTACTTCAACCACCCGCACTTAAACCTGTGTCTTACATTCTCGTCAATACCATCGCTCTTTTGCACTATTGATCCTAAATACTTAAAACCTTCTACCTCCCCATTCACACTCTCGCCTATTGTCACTGATCTCCTCATTTCACCTACCTCATGTTCTCTTTTGTCAACCCAGCCAGAATTTCTGGTAATGATAAA